TGAGGTTAAATATATTCTGAAATAATACATGTATCCTTAGATTAAAACAGAAGGTAATGTAAAGCTATCTTTTCTTTCATTCTCCTCTCACATCCTAGTGATAAGAGCCAAGAATTGAGAAAATGGAATTCTTGAAAAAGATATTCTTAAATCAGCATATTATTCGCACCAATGAATTTATACTTATTCACAAGCCCTCATATTAATCTTCTATGCAAATAAGACATTTCCTGGACTTATAAACTAAAAAGGTCTTAAAACCAGGAAACAAGTGGGGTTTATGCCTAAGAGCAGCATTTTATGCTGGCAGACTCTCTTCCTCCCTTTTCCAAACTCATAATTCAGTTCTCATATCAGGTATGAAGTGAAATTACAGCTCAGTGTGGAAAATTAGGACCTGACCTTGCAAAAACAAGCAGCCTCTCTTTAATAACGTGGCTCAAAGAGTTGCAATAAACTCTATCCCTTTAGCAGTGCTGTGTATAGCCAGGCCTGCAAAATTGCAATGATGTTGCTCAGTTAGCCACAAGAAAAAATGCTAGGAAAAAATGGAAAATAATCCAGAACAAACAGATTAGATCTGGAGATACTAGTCATAATGTTTTCTTCCTTCCTGTATTTTCTCTGCCTTAATGCTCTCCTCCCCATCACATGTTTGTACTAAAGGCAGATTTTCCATCTCCTATTTTCAACTAGCAATCTAAAGGGGAAAAAAAAAAAGAAAAAAAAATTTACTATCTCTTCACATTCATTATAAAGGTTTCCAGGCACAACAAACCCTGTGGGCATGGAAAAATATAACAGTGTGTCTTCGTCAGGCTTGAGGTTGCTGGAGGATAATCAGTAAAACATGTCTTTCAGAAGTCAGAGGAAAATGAAAACATTTCAGAGGGAAAATCCCACCAAACGATGCAAAAGGATTGCATTTGGATAGGGAAAGGAGAACTGGGAAAACAAGGCACAGGACTTGTCATGAGCAGAAAAAGCTACTTATTTTGCAGAAAAATCTATTGCAAGCAGTTTTTCCATCTAATCAATTAGACATGTGTATTACTGTTTGATGGAGTGAGCAGCTGTTTCTTCAAAGAACCACACTGATGTATCTTTTGATTCTGGAAGATCACAAATGTAGTGTACATAGAAGAAAAACTCTGCACTCTGCAACTTTAAAGGTTTCCCAAATGACCCCCTGAGCATCAGAGTTCTTTGTGGTACATTGTATTTCCTACTACACCACGAATAGACACAAAATACATCAATAAGAATGTGGAGTTGGCCTAGCAGGAGCTTTGTTGTTGAAAAACTGTGAGCTCACATCATCATCCAATTCACCTTGTTTGAAATCTATGACTATTTCTATGTATAATTTTTCACCTTCATGAGCCACAAAGATCGACAAGTTTCAAGTAAATTGAGCTGGTGAAATGTTGTCCATGTTGCATATCAAGAGTTAGTTATGAATCCCTGAAGGAATTACTCATGGTCAGCTTTGTGTTGCCTTCTTGGGCACTCTGTCTGCTCTGGCTTCCAACACCTAACAGCGAGCCAGAGAGCAGCACCTAAAAGCTGCCTTTGAGAAACTACAGAGAAGGACTACCACATCCCCTGGGCAGGGGGCATTTCCTATGCCCAAAGCATGGAATTTACTAAAATACATCAAAAATTACTGCTGGAAATGTGGTGCTATGAAAACTGACAGGTTAAAGACATTCATGAGCTGATAACAGCAGCAAAATGACAAAGATCCTGAAGACAGCCAACTGGGTTTTCATAATTCTTTTTAGTAGACACTCAAAAGAATAAAATATGTTTTGATTAAGCTCTTGAAATGAGATGAGCCTTTCCAATTACTCTAGGAACTAGAGAAGTTTGGTAAGTACTGTGAAGTGCCTTCACCAGCAGAGCAAGGATATTTTTCTTGTCTTGCGGACAGAATCTGTGCAATGCAGGAACAATGGTTTAAATAGCTTACAACAGCTATTTGCAACTGAACAACAAAGGTATTGAAATAGATGGATAAAGACAATCTTACTCGAGCCACAAAGCATTGAGATACTGCTCAGAAGAGCTTATGTCAATACTCATTGTGAAGAACTCTTTTCAGGATAATGAGACTGAACAGGTTCAAAACGCTAAAAATAACTCAGGGGTTTTATCTAGCATGAGGAACTGGAGCTGGAATCAACTTCTCCCTCCTGATGGGAAACAGACTGCTCTCACGTAGACACACTAACTGCAGGTTCCTCCCTGCCTTGCAAATCGGATTGATACCTCCTCCCCCCCAAGAAGAATGAAAAACGCCACAGTCACAACAATGATCAGCGTGATTATACCCTCAAGTTAAATGCAATCAGTATACTGAGATGTGGGCAAAACCAAAACATTCTTTCCATTCATCACTACATTACTTGAATCTTATGGTATCTAGAGTTAAGTATTATGAAGAGTATCACAGAGGAATTCAGAGTAAAAGCCCTCACAATGAAAAATAAAAATTTCCACACAGGTGAGGAAATTAGTATTGTCTCACCTACATGATCCCATTGTTTCTGCAAAGCACTTACAGCCAATTCCCTCGGAGAGAAAGGCAATTCAAAGCATGTAAATCCACTCAGCAGAAATAAAAATAGGTATTAACTTTGTTTCTTTTGTCCAGATGAAAGGCAATCCAGAGGGCCTTAAAGTGGCCAAGCTCAGGAAACAGCAAATCTCACCAGCAGAACTGGTGAATAACTGATTTACCTCTGTTACCTAGAAGAAGATGGGCAGCATTTTATCCACAAAGGCATATCTTAGGAAGGTTTGAGAAATGAAGAAGAATAACATTCTGAGCTGAAGATAATGATAAATCCAAATAAGAGACAGCCTGTCCTCACTGCAATGTTAATTCAAGCATTGCCTCAGCCTAGGCACACAGACAAGTCTTTTGCTTAAATCAGGCAGTACTTTTAACTCTGAGCTTCTGGCCCAGCAGCACACCTCAAACGCCAGTGGATTCCTTCCCTGCCAACGTAGCAAGGCCTCTGCTGCTGAACAACTGCTCAGCAGTAAGGACATAAAAAAAGGGAGAAGAATAAACAACCCAAAATAAAGGGCCACACTGAGTCAGACTACAGATCATCTTACCCAGTCCTCCTGCCTCTTAGCAAAAGCAGAGAGAACAATGTTAACAAGAGTGCAGGCACGGAGGGAGCAGCTCTTCTCCTGAACGTTCCCTCAGCTGCCAGCACTCCCAGCTTGGGGATTTCCTGAGCCAAAGGTGATGGCTTTGAACTTCATAATCCTCTGTGGATTTTTTCATCGGTGCAACAAAGTAAACTGAGTAAGCCTTAAGTGCAAAGATAACGACCAAAAGCCACAAGAAGGAATAAAGGTAAAAGACTGGCAAAGGAGAGTTAGAAATTCAAGTGTCCCTGGCAGGAAGAAAAAAGACAACCACGGAACTTTGGTCCAAGTTTTACACTACCCACCACCCTTCAAGAATCAAAATTTCTCAAGAGTTTTCTTTTTCAGTTCATGAAATCCCAAGATAAGAATCCTAGAGCCAGAGCTACTCAGTTCAAGTACATCAGTTAGGAGAAGAATGTGGATTCTCCTATGCTGGGGAGAGCCTAATGTTGTTTTTTATTAAAATATATCAAAAGAGTAATTATTTTGCAAACTCAAATATATTTAAGATGTTCCTAACTTAGTTGACAAGTCATTATGCCTTTGCTGGACTACAACATAGTATTTACCATTCTGACAATACGTAAAAGAAAAGGAAAACCTTTTCTCCTCTGTTTTTCAGACCTACAGAGCTTAGCAGAACACAGCAGAGATTTGATACAGCCTTGCTGGACTGAAGCTATAAACATGTAACAGGGCAAAGCTCTTCCAATTTCAGAGCTTACTTGATTTCTTCTGAGCATTATGCTTTTCAGGAAGCAGAATGCAAAGTAGGTGTTCTTAAGTATTTTTTAATTTCTTTTTTTTAGACACTCTCTAACAGCAGAGGGTATAAGGAAAGACTGGTAAATACAAGCCCTGTCCTAAATATGTCTAAGAGCCCATGAGAAATGTGGGTGTCATGAAGCTCCTGCCAAGCTGCTGCATTTGTGTGCAGCCCTCTTCCATGTATCACAGCCCTGACTATTATATCCCAACAAACCTTAAGACATGCTTTGGGAAGAGAAAAGCAGCTGTCTTTTCACTGCTTTCTAAAGTTTCTTGACTGAAGATATTGTGTTAAGAGTGTAGTAAGGTAAAGGTAAAAAAAAAAAAAAGAAAGAAAAAAAGGTTGTACCATCATCAGTGAGCAATTTTACTACCTCCTCTTACTCACCACTGATTTTCAAAGCCATAGTAATTTGTATTGACAGGATTTCTGCCAACTTAAGGCCCTACTAGTTAATGATATGAATTTCCCTCTGTTTCTTCCTGAAAAAGATACCAGCCATAATAAAAACACCATTGCAAGCTACATTCATAGTTGTAGAGTGACTTCAGTAAGTAAATTAATATTTTTAAGATTAAAAGTTAAAGAACCAAACTTTTAAAATATAACAACCACCAAATACTGGGTGGCTTGATACCTGCATTAGATGACCATTTTAAATTTTTACTCTTTATCACAACATAGAGGATTTCAAGATCCTAATACTGACTAATTCTTAATAATTCCAGAGTAAAATTAAAATAATTTTCATTCTGGCCCCAAGTATTTACAGCCATCACTATTTGATTACAGCACCATTCTAGTATTAGCAGTATGGATGCAATGCAGAGTCATAAGAATGCAGTACAAACTCTAGTTCTCTGCAGTCTAGGAAAGCTCCTTAAATGCATTAATGAGAAGTTCTTACTTTTTGCCAAACCTAGCTCACACTGTCAGTCTTGCTGATTTCAGTAAGACTGTTGAGCGAGGTTACTCACACAAGATGGAATCTGCAAGTCTAGACCCTTCCATCCTGATTTCTAAGTAAGCAGCACATGAGTCTAACCAGGAATTTAACACTTACGCTTCCACAGCTGTTCTTACAGTCTGTTCCTCACCATCTTCATCTGAGCTGCTACATGTTGCATCAGAGTCCAGGTCCTTCTCCACACGAGACAGCAGCCCTCCAGCAGAAAGTGCAAAGCCACGGATTTCACCCGGTGCAACGCTAACTCCGTTCTGTACATCCACACTCAAACTACTCTCCGAAGTAGTTGTGTTGTTTTCTGGCCAACCTTCAGTGCATCTGAGGGAGCTATTGCTCAAAAATCTAGCTGGCTCATGGAAAACCTTCATTCTCTGAAGCTGATGTTTCACAAAGCATTTCAGCTGCTGATCACAGTGTTTGATAACATGCTTTGCCAGGAGCATTTGTAAACGCTTCTGAGTTCTTTTGGCTCGACTGATTTCCATTTGTTGCTTAGTGACACACTGGAGTAAGCGAGCGTACACCTCCTCCTGGGTGCAGCTCAAAATCCCTTCTGAAGGCCCGTGAAGAATTTGGTGTAATAAATCCCCTTTTATTGTTTCAGTGCAGACTTCCAAAGCCCTACCCAAAACCCCATTCTTCTTGTACCATTTACCATTTAAAAGTTGCATTTCTTCTGCATTACTGGATTCAGTTACGCTTGAACCTGTAAGTCTCTGCATTCCCGCCAAGTTCGGAGATGTGGCCTCTAAAAACGCTGCCCCTTTGACCTGTTGCTCAGGTTCTGAATGACCAATATGACCAAATGATGTGTCAGCACCATTATGTAATGACTTTCTCATCTTGGAGCAGCCAGGCTCTCCTGCTCTCGTTTGCTTACCAGTTTTGTTGCTAAACGCAGAATTTGTACTCATTAACAAGACAGACTGATAGCACTTGGAGGATGGTGGGGAACCAAAATGCTGCACACTGAAGATATCATTCCTGAGGCTGGGCTCAGCAGTGGGGAACCCCAGGACTGAGCACGTAATCTGTGCGATGGAGTCCTCTTTTATCTTCTCTTCCACTGCTCTGGAATTTTCCATGCACAAAGTTGTATCAGACTCCATAGCTCTAGAGGACAAAGAAGGTGACAAGTGGATACCATGACCTTTTGTTGTTGCCTCTCTGAGGGCTGGTGTCATTATAGCTACGGTAGGCAGTTTACAGCAAACCTGAAAATAACATGGGCCATGTAAATTTCCTCATTTTCATGACACAGTACAAATACAACAACTCAGATATTTCATTCTTTCAACATCATTCAAAAATTCCGTAGAAAAGGATATTATCTAAAGAACACAAACTATGTAGCCTCCCAAGTCAAACAAGAACACTCCTTCTGTTTTTCCTTTATTTCACTCAGAGGATGTTCCATGTGCAATGGAAGCCTTTACGTCTCAGGGGAATGACTGTTCATACCTCATTTTATTTTAAATTCTACCAGCCTGAGAAATAAGACCCAAAAAGTTCAGGTCTGTCATCTAACCTTGCCCAAACTGAAAAACATGACTGTGACTGGCATTATTGCAAAAAACATATTTTCTGTAAATCTATATAAAGCAAGCATTTGATTAACTATTATATATTCTTATAAATACACATTAGAAACCAATCAACAAGAATAATGCTTTCAAAACAGAAAACTCTAAGTTCTGAAGTCTCCTACCAAAAAGAATTATTTCCTGTGCCTTTGTATACCACTCTTTATTCATCAGGCACTGTCTGCATAATACATACAGATTATTTTTTATAACAAATTGAGAAAAGACATTCTCCTTGACAAATCCTTTTGCTTGTGGCTTGCCAATTAACAAAAGGTTCCCAGACTTTGGGATCAAAAGACTAATGTCAATCTCCACCCCTTCTTGTCAGCAGCTATGCTGCCAAGTCATACTGTATCTTTTCCACACAGGAATCACTTGCACAGTACTTACAACTTTGTTTAGGAGATGGTTAAGTAAACCCAATGAATGATTTAATTGAACCTGCAGAAGTCTGAAAGATAAGTTCCTATCAGCTCTTCATTAAGAAGCCAGAGACAAAACCAGAAAGCTTAAGAGAGCATCAGTAAAAGTGAGTGCAGCACAGTAATGCCACAGTAACTTCTGGTGAAGTGCACTAGTTGAGCAGCACGTCCACTGCCCTCCTTTTCATGTCTCCGGTTTCCTTGATCTCCACAGCAACTGCCTAGCTCAGCAATTTCCAATGCACAGATCTCAGAAGGGGTCAATGATTTTGAGACTGCCACATATAGATTTTAGTAAATAATCTGTCTGAAGCCTTAGCTTGTTTATAACTACAGGTTTTTTACGCTGAAGGTGCAAACATTAAAGTGAGATGTGGAAACCGAGGGAGCTGAGAAATACCAGTTTGGATACTTTGTCTTTAACCCTCAAAACATAAAGCAAAACACAGAGAGCCACATGCTCCAGTACTGCCTTACCACTCTCTGTACACTTTATTCACCTTCCATTGCTTTGTGTGTACTTCATCCAAAAGGTTTTCATCTCTGTACATCACCCTCCTAGCATCACTGGGACCAGGTTTGGTGGTCCTACTGCTAATAGTAAACGATGCCATTAAAATCCCCAGGATTTTAACCTTTATAAATAAGCCAGTAACTTCAGCCTAAAGGAGAGCTCAGCACGAAGTCCCCCCAGGGGATAGGAGTTCAGGAAGAGCCCATTCTAGGATCAGACAGGGAGATGCACTGTTGAATCCTAAAGGCTCTGGTGACTCAGCAATGCTCTCAGCACCTGGCTGACTCATGTCTTTCCTCTTGTGAAAGCTAGCAGCCTGTGAATTTGTAAATCCAAAGGAGTATGAATTCAGACACCAGTGCCTCTCTGACCCTAACATAATGGCAAATAACCACAGCAAGTCAGAGCAAATGAGCATGGCTAAAATATAAGGGCAGAGAACTGAACAGTTCCTCTGTGGGGTTAATGTGAGCTCAGCAGTCCCTGTGTTTGACATATCCCTGAGAATTCCAAGAAGCTCTCCAAGGAGAGCACCATCAGCCTGGTATCTACATGCACCTAGCAATGTATTTATAAATATTCCAACTTTACCATCCACCTCCCTTAGTCTGAGTGGCTTAACAGGCACAGGTTGCTACTCCTGAAACCCAGGAAACATCTACACACAGTGGAGCTGTTCAAGCAAAAAAGTAGTTTGGATATGTGGATCACATACCTGTATGAATATGGAGGTTATTCAAAGAAATGGCAGCACAAAACTTTATAGTGATGTGTTTTAACTCCATCACATTCTCTCAAATACCACATACCCTTCTGGTACAGTCTCAAATTTCCAAAATTACAATGAATTCCATTATCCATTTTTTTTTTCATCTGGAGGACTTCTTTTAACTCTTCTAGGGGAAAGAGGTTAAGAAATCAAAGTACCCTCATATGGAGCACAGACACTGAACTCAAGAGCATTGACAGATCACTAACTAATTTAGAGTGCCTGACCAAGTATGCTTAAACTACAATGTAGCTAAAAAATAAGTAAAATGCTTTTGAAAAGGGAAATCACTCAATTAACCCCTTACGCAGCAACTTGGAAATTGTCATACAATGTGAGGCACTCAGGTGTGCTCACCTCACTACAGTGACATAGAAAAGAACTTTAAAAAGCTGGTACTGACACAGTGCCCAGCCCTTGGCATTTCTCCAAGAAGTTCACACACAAGCAAACAAACACACAAAAATGTCATAGGTACAGGAGCAAAACAAAGCATCAGCTGCAAAAAAAATTATAAACAAACATTAGTACAAGTACTTGGCTTGACAAAAGTTACATAATTTACATTTTTACACATTTTATTTAATTTTGGCAGAAAGCTGCGAAAATTATTTCATTCAACCCGTATTGGAAGTGAGTTTCCAAAGAAAATCTGCTATCTTCAAAGGGGAAAAAATTAAAAGCAAATAAGGAGGGAAGACAAGTACTTGGTATATGTATATATATGGTAAATGGTATACTGGAAGAGTATTTTCATTCTTTTTTGTCATAGGAAAATCATTTCACAGATTTTTTTTTTTCATTGTGTATTACTTGAGGTTTCAAAACCAGAAGAGCTGAAATTCTGTTAAAGTGGCAAACAGTTTGCTTTTCATCTACTGAATAAACACTCCACTTGAAAGACTAAAAAGTACTGTAAAAAGAAAACCTGACATTAAGTAAGTACTGGGGAAGGGAAGAAACAAGTACCAGACACACACAGTAAAGCAACTGATGTTTAAAGTGACTTTGTGTTTATCCTCCCCTAATGCCTTAATTACCCAGGAGGACAGAGCTGGCAATTGCAGTTTACCACAGCCCGACCTGCACCCTACTCCCTGCCACCACTGCAGCCACAGGTTCCTAATCCCCAGCGACTCCTGCTGCTCTGCTTCTCCTCATTTCTTCCTCCTCCCTTGACACTTCTTCATTACACCCTTTTCCTACCAGGCTTACCTCAACAGAATTTGCCTGAATCCTGAAACTAGCGTCTTCATGTTGGTGATTGGCAGCACCCTATTAAAAAAAAAACACAGCAGAACCCAGCTACAACCCAGCACACAGGGTGGCATTCCCTCCCTTCCCAGCTTTTGTTTACGGTCCTTTCACTTTTTGACTCTTCTCCCCCTTGCATAACACTATCACTTTGGTTACACAACACTGCAGACAGTGTTCTGGGGGATTTTTTTGCTTGGGGGGAGGATTGCTTTGTCTTTTAGTGGATTTTTTTGTTTGTGATCTTTTCGTTTCCAATGACAATAAAACTCCACTTGCATGAGGCTTTTCAAGGCTCCTCTGTAGCAGCCTTCTCTCCTTGTAAATTGAGTCATCTTTCCTCATCATAAACACCTGAAATTTTCTTCTTAATAAGAGATTTCTTGAGACCAGGAGGAGATTTTTACGTTTATTATTTCTTTTTGTTTTGAAACTCAGAAGCCTACAAACAACATTTCAAATTAATACGGCTGTTTCCACTTTATTCACAGATTAACAGTTTCACATAAGCCAACTTCTACTGTTTATTCCTTGCCTAGATGGCATTTCAAAAGCAAAGCAAAGTCCCTGAGAGCAGACAGCCTCTGGTGAAACACCCGAAATTAATCTCAGCAAGAATGCTCAAAATACTGTATTTCAACCTGTTTTAAAGCCTCTTAGAGTCAACCTACACAAGAGAGGGCAGCTACAAAAGCAAACTGCAACACAACTGTCAAAACATGGTTTCCTATAGCTTTGTGCTGTTTGTCCTGTAATCCCCAGCTCCTCCTGGGCAGCCTTCCTGATAATCACTGGACAAAAATAAAGTGTCCTGGCAGACAGGCACTGCTGCAGTGCTGCCTCAGCCCAGTGCAATGGACAGGACCTGACCCTGGGCAGCTTCTTCAAGCCTTGCCTGCTGGGAGGCATCCCTCAGCTTTAAATACCACTCCCAATTTTTGGAAAACCTACAGGATCATAGCGATTTCTAAGAATAGAAAGAGCAGCTCAATAGCATAGTCTGCATTTTCTCATGGAATAGTCTGCAGCAACGACCATAAAAAAGATATTGGTCCCACTGGGCATGTCCTGGTTAGGAGTATGAAAGAAAAAGGGAAGAAGTCCATATTTAAAACACCTGGGACCAGCCTTTAAGAGTGAAAAAAAAAATAATTTCAGTTGGCAGCTTTTGTTTTCACTTCAAAAGCCGAGTGTACATACTCATGATGTGTATTTAAGCATTCTAGTGTTTTGTTCTATTAATAGATTGGAAAAAACCCCATAAACCCAAACAGGATTATGTGGGGAGCCTCCACGTTCAGCAGTGCTCACTGTGCAGGAACAACTTTCCAGAAAAAACTGCAACTCCAGTGTTTTTACAACCCAGAAAATATAAACATCATTTCCTCCTACTATGGAAAAAAAACCAAACCTCACCAAAAAACAGCACAACATCCCTCCCCAAAAAGGATCTCTCTTTGAACACTAAGAGATCTCCATTTAAGACAGACCACCCAAAGTTTCAATCATAAAAAAACATCAAAAAGGAGGCACTTCAAGTGGGACTCATTAGTATTAATTTATGATAAAATCCATGACTCATTAAAATCTCTGAACAGGCTTGTTTTCCTCCTTGTTCAGATCTGCTTCTGAACAGAGAATCAATATAATTTCCAAGTTTACTATTATTATCATCATCAACTAATTCTTGTTCAGACTATAACAGCATATCTGCAAAGCACCATCTGAAGTAATTTTTAATATATGTTAAATGCTTTTTGCAGTACAACAGGTGCCTCTGTAAGTAGGTTGTGACTATGTCTCTAACATAAATACCTGCAATAGTTTCTGATACTTTTCATTTCATATCAACATTTCAGTGATACTTCTGAATTTCAGCCTTTGAAGAGAGGGCTAGAAAACATGGTCTTAAATGAGACTCACTCAGTTCTTATGACACTAATTAAGATGACTGGAATTTAAGCTCCTCAGAACATTCCCCAGGATTTCAAACCATGGATCAATGTATCAGGAGAGTCCTAAGGCACACACAGACTGCTTTCTGAGCTGGTATATCCATCAGGCTTTATCCAGTGTCATTTCTAGTACTGAAATAAGCACAAAAAGGATGTATTTACCCTTTGACAAAAGGCGTATTTTAATAATTTAGATTTTTTTTAACTGGCTCGCATCGCAAATTGGAAATTGAAAACTCAAGTTTTTAATTTGCTTCCCATTAAAGAAGGGTAAGTACGGAATACCTCATTCACTGCTACGTTTTGGTGGGGAGAGACACTTCATTTTACAGGAATTTTGCAGGAAGCTTGCAAGAAGTGGATGGAAACTAGCTCAGGAGCACAGAGGAAATCTCAAGGCAGCTCGAGGGACCTGGACCTGAGTTGCTCCCCAGAGCTTTGCCAACTACTTCATCGGAAGTGTCCGGCCCTGTAAGCGGCCCGCAGCGTGGGAAGCCTCGCCCAGGGTCACTCCGAGGCCAAGGGATGAATACTCGGCCGTAGGTAGAGGGCGATTACCAGAGGGAAGCTCCGATCCGCTCTTTAAATCCCGGGTGCGACACGCGGGGCGGGCGCGGAGCGGCCCCGCCCCTGCCCGCGCGCGGGCCCCGCCCCCGCCTCACAGCCAGCGGCCCCGCCCCGCCGCGCGCACGGACCGTTACCCCCGCCCCGCCCCCACCCCGCGCATGCGCACCCGCCACTCCCGCCGCGGGAACCAACCGCCGCCCGGCCCCTCCGTGCCCCCTGCGCCTCACGGCGCCCCCGCCGCGTCGCGCCCCGCGCTTGCCTCCGCGTCCGGCGGCTTCTCCGCAGCGGCGCCGCCGCCGCCGCGGCCGCCGCGACCTCGCACAACACGGCGCCCGCCACGGCTCACACTGCCGCTCTTGAAGAGTCCGCGCCCAGCTAAAGCGCAGCGCGGCGGGGCGGGGCCTCCCCCGCTCCTCAGGGGAGGAGCGCGGCCAATCCGGGGCGCCGGGGGGCGTGGCTCGGGCTGGGGGCGTGGCCGCCCGCCATTGGCGGGGCCCCGCCTGACGCGAGGACACCGCCCTCCCCTTCCCCCCCCCACCCCGCGCGCCCGGGCCGTGTGGGAGGGGAGGGGACTCGCTCCGGCCAGGTTCAGCTCTTAAAGCCCAGCATGGGTAAAGAGCTTAAAAACCTTCCTAAACACACACGTTCCAAGGTACCATCGCAAATAAAAAGCCCTCGAGTGCACCTGCATCGCATTCCCTCCCTCCGAACTCCCCCTCAGCGCCCTGGGGTGAACGCGGGCACAAAGGAAGATGCCCCGTTTCCCCTTCTGCGGGCTTTGAAGTAACCGCAGGCAAGCGTGAGATTGCATAGAAATGCTTTATTATTATATTTGACCAAAGTAATTAAAATAAGGCATTCCGGGTTAGGTGTAAACACAGAGGTAAGCTGCACAGCAGGTGGCTGCTGCACAGGGAGCAGGTGTATGGCAACAACAGCAAGAGTGTCAAGTTCTGCTTCTCAAGGGGAAGTACAAATTCAAAGTTACATCAATATTTAATTTTGTCCATTTGTTAAGAATACGGCTTCTCTCGAGGTTTGATTCTGAAAAGTGAGGTTTGGATTCAATACAATGGGTGCAAGTCCCAAGACCAAGCTGCTCAACGCTCCAGAGATAAAATTGCCTTTCACTACTGCAACTCTCAGCACCCAGAGTACTCCGTGTTGTACAAAGATAACATATTCATTAAATATTAAATATCCTGCATGTGAGCACACTGTTATTACTAACATGTGCTCTAAGTGTCACTTCCTTTAAATTTAGAAGATGATACAGCGCATTTATTTTACTTACATTCTGATGTCTGATTTTTTATGCCATATACTAATATAGAAAAGGATTCTGCACGACTCTGCAAAGTAGTGAGCATCTGCCCTACTTGTCACTGACGATGTCTCTAGCAATAAGTTCTTTCATTATTTCGTTGGTACCACCATAGATTGGCTGAACACGGGCATCCACAAAAGCTCTGAGGGAGGAAAAAAAAAGGAAATATTACAAACATCACCTCAGAATGAACATACAATAAAAAAAAAAAAAAAGCACTTTATCTTTAGATCCCTCTTTTCAATGTATACTCTTCTCATTGACAAAGTAATTCTTGTTTTCTAACAGGCTTTAACTAGAATATTACAACTTTCCAGGGTGCTGTGCACCAATCAGGAACTGGGTCAGTATATCTTCCTTGATTGTTTATAGTGTAAAGTCTCCACTATTACCTCTCATTAAACAAAAAAATAAAGCCCTATAAACCCAGCCTGCTGGCCTTCCTTTAATAAGATGGTGCAGATCACTCACAAATTACACTCAGTGAAAACATGGAAGAACAAGTTATTTTAAAGCAACACTTCATACTCAATCTATTTAAAATTTTAAAAAACATCTAAATCTACTTGGTTAAAAAAATTAGCTTACTTATGACAACTGCACAGCAGTTCTGTTTTTGCTATTTCTACTGTCAAATTACCATCTCTTTGATTTTTTAAATAAAAAACAGCACCAAAATCCCTACTTAGTGTGTCACATGGCCTGTAACTTCACAGATAATACACAAGGATATATACAAAAGCTCCATAAATGTCTCTCAATTTATAAAGTCAGAAAAAAAATGGGAATGGCAAATTCCTTTTTCTACATATAAATGTCATAACTTTTTTATTTTAAAAGGCAAAAAAAAGCTGAATGAAGCCAGTTATGCTCTTGATTTGACAATTTGATACTCATTGGTATCTGATCAACATGTTTTCTTTACCCACATGCAATTAATTTCAGATAAAACAAACTAGCTCCCCTCATTTCTACTTTTATAGTTTTGCTTCTGTTTTTTTCTTCTAAAAAACCAACTTATCTTTTGTGGAAAAAAAAACCAGACAATAATTGCTGGACAGCTTATGAGTTATTTGGAGAATCAAAACAATTCCTGCAGACCTCTGTACAGTAGATTCCCTTTCAATGAAACCTGATGGGAAAAGCAATGGTGAATCACTGCTAAACACTAAATACCAAACACACAGATGCAAAGGAAGTGCCTCATTTAACTTTGCTGGTGATCTTTCATCATACAATCTGAAATGTTACACTTACTTTGCAATTGGATACTCCCACATGTACCCCCATCCTCCATGCATTTGTACACACTGAGTGGCTACGCTGTTTTGGAGATCAGAACACCTAAAGGATCAAAAGGAAAATCTGCTTTTAGAAGGACATGATGTTGCAAAACATTACAAAAGATAAAGATATGTTAACAGGACAAAAACATAACATGATGAGTAAGAAATAAATACTGTTCTATTGAATGCATTAAAGGTTTGTTCCCTTTATGGTACAGCTTTCAGAAAAGGAAAGGTTTCAAAACAGACAGGCTTGTTTACCTTTCTCACAGGCCAAGAGAATTCTTCTGTGAAGCAAGTTGATAGAGTCTCTTTTCTTGTCAAATCCCTCAGCTTTGTCAGAAATTAAGAATAAAGCAGGCTTCCCCCCACCACTACCACTAGCAGCACACCAGGATACTCTTTGAGCAGAGCCATCACCTGGGCATAATTTATTTTCTGCAATAAACTTTTCCAATAGCCTTTTCTGCAATAGACTTCAATTCTAAGACACACTGTAATTTTCCAACAGCATTTGTTGACTGCAAAATATGGATTTAATAGCAAAAAAACCTAAATTGGACTGGAAGCTCAAACTGTAGTTAGAAGAGGTGTAAAAAAACACTTTCTAAGCATACAGCTTTCAGTGGCAACGGAAGAAATTAAAATGACAAGCCAATTGCTTTCTCCTGGAAAAATGGAATCATTTTCCCCAAACCATCCCTTCATTCATTTAAATCCTTACAGTTTATTGTACCAACTGTAATTCTGCAGCAGTGAGTTACTGCAACTGTCTTTCCGAAATATATTCTCAAATTATCTTAGGTATGTACCACAACCTGTCACCACAAGAAAAACCAAACCAAAACAAACCTACAGACTTCTCCAGGTATGAAAAAAAAAAAGAGATGCACAAACCTGGTTTTAAAATCCTTTAAAGCTCTAACTCAAGTCATTGACTATACAAAAAGTTTGAAGGAAAATTCAAGACTAGGGAGACTCTCCTAATACATTAGAGAATAAAGCAATTCTATATACAAGCATTTTCTAGAATATTTAAGTGGAAGGGTCACAGGGACTCCACTGGGGAAAGAGAAAATCCACAACAAATCATGATGGTAAACAGCTGTGAAAGTGAGGGAGTTTCAAAAGCCTTGTTTAGGGAAATTTGTTGAGGAAATGAGTCTGCATATCTCAGCTGGCATTAGTTGTTTCCTCCTCCTCAAAACTGAATGCCTCTGCTTCTGTACCTGGTACTTCTAGGCAATCACTGCCAAGAATACCACTCAAAACTCTTCCTTCCATTGTAAATATTTCTGCTCATTTCCTCCACACTTATTTTGAAAAGTGTAAAACCTGTAAGCCTGTGATTCTTCCACACATTTCTTTGTTCATGTCTCGTGTGGTTTTTTTTCTCCCATCTTTGCAACAAGCTAAAACTCTATAAATTCATGTACCACTGCCTTAGGTGTTTCCAGTTGTTTCTCTCTGGTAAAACTAAGCTAACATGTACCACCACCAAGTATGGGGTGAGGGAGAAGAAGTTCTGGACAATAAAGGAAACTTCAGTCACAGTTACAGCTACAGCTGTAGCCAACTATTTCTTCCCAAAACCAGATAGCTTTGAAAACTTGCTAGGCCAAACAGCTATTGTTAAGTAACATTAACTAAACAGTATCATAGAGCTTCAAATCTATTTAAATTTGGCTCCAAATTTTTGCTTTAAAAAAAAACAAAAACAAAGCAAACCATATACCCCATTAAAAAAAACAACAAAGAAAACCAA